CTCTGTCCCCCCCCCCCAATATATACCCTATATATATATATATATATATATATATATATATATATATATATATATATATAATTTTCTATTTCTATGAATTGACTGGAACACACTAAAACGGTTTTAGATAATGAAAGAATACAAATGAAAATGAATTTATTAAATGTATTAAATATAATTTTGTCATAATGTGCAATGATGAACTGATTTGGTTCCAAATTGGCTGTAGATAATGAAAGTTTACAAAGAAACATGTTTTTGAATTTTGCACAATTTGAAATGATGACTCTTGCAGAATGAAATCATTAACATTAAAAAAAGCAAATAGGAATTTGTTTTTATGTTTACTTTAAGAAAGCAGAGCAAATCTGATATGCTATACATATTTAATCGAACTGATAAGATCAGAACGGCTCCTCAAAATGCACAGCATTACTGATTTCTGCCAACAAACATGATCAATATTTGGATTCTATCAATAGTAAGCAGAGCATTTTGTTGCCTGTTTGTTCCGGCAGGCTCTGCTCCTCTGAGATCGTACCCTCTCCTGTCTGTGATCACACACCAGCCGCCCAGCAGCCTCCCGCAGATCTCTCAGCCGTATTTTTAATGAAACATTAAATACTTATAGTGGAATATATGACTGACATTAGGTGGATTGTTTGCTATTCTAGGTTCACATTTATTTATTTATTTAAAAAATGAATGAAAAAAAAAAATCCATTTGCAACCCAAGTTGCAAAAAATCAAATAATAATTACTTTTGGTAATTTAATATTAATTACTATTATTAGCTAGCTATCTAACATGTTTGTTTCTGGGAATTGATTGGAACATAGCAAATTGGCATTAGATAATGACAGATTATAAAGAAAAAAGGTTTTTGAATTGGCATAGTTTGCAGTTATGAATCTTGTACAGAAACCAGAAAACATTAAAAAAAAACAAAACTAGGAAGTTGATTTCATGTTTACTAAGAAGCTGGGTAACATGTAATAAATTCAATCTTTTTTCATTTTATCTGATTGTTTTTTTTTCCTGCTAGTGGAGCATGAAATTCATTGTGGGGAAAAATAATTCTTGGATTGATTGGAATATAACATGCAATAACGAATCTTGCACAATGAAACCAGTAACCTTGAAACGCGTTGATTTTAAGAAAGCAGAGTAATTATAAAATACTATAAAAGAAATCAATTCTAAATGCATATAAATCCTCAAATAAACACATTAAGCAAATCACTGTTGGCCAAACTATTACATGGCTCAGTGTTGTAGTTAAGACGACAGTAACATTTTAACCGTGCTTTGAATTGCAAAAGAAGCCTTTAAAAGAAACACTACCCCATTCAAGACAACAGGGACACAGGCCAAGAACAGCAAACAAAAATGTATTACATTGATTTCATGCCAATCATTTAAAGCACATGCAGGTGTATTTAAACAACTTTGGGGCTTTGTACAATGAGATGAGGTAATCTACGTGTCGTAGGTCTTCTCTCATGGGACAAATTTTGGCCATAACACATTTTCCATTTCGGTTTGGCTCTGCGTTTAGATTTGGCCGGAGTGGATGTGTTTCCATTATGGCCCAAAGGGTGCGTTTGAGTAAAAATCCCACAAAATCAGTTCTGTCCCACCTACAACACACACACACATTCTCTGAATTGTTGGTCAGACACAACCTAAGGACAGATCCTGTCCTCCAGCGGCAGAGCTGTCAGAAATAATTGTCTGAAAACTGTCAGCACCACCAGACATGCAAAGCAAAGAAAACCACCACCACAAGACTTCGTCTTACATACTCAACCAACTCATTTTTTGTCACATAACTCTCTTTAATTTTCTTAAAACAAGGAAGATGCTGTGTCTGACTCAAAGTGACTTTGTGTGTGCATTTAAATTAAACACACACACACACACACACACACACACACACATATATATATATATATATATATATATTATTTTTACCAATATGTTATCCATGATCTAAAGTCATTTTCTCAGTAATTGCAAACCCAAACCTGACACAAGCATGAAAGCGGCCTGTTTTGTTGGTTCCTGTCGGGGTCAGTCTGTGGAGGTTTTGGCTGAAGGCCGCGGAGTTCACAGCAAGGTCATGATTACGCTCTCTCTATCACTCTGTCACACTCATCACGTCCTGCAGCTCCGTCTCAGGAATCAGCTAATTAATTCTTGCATGCTGAATGAGAAACAAGTGAGGGAAATTCCTCATCTCCTGGCAAGTTTGAGGAATGGGCCTCAGGTTGGACTTCTATCAATCTCAAAGACGACCTGAAGGTGTTGTGCTGTTTTTGGCTTGTCCGCCTAGGCCACACAATCCGAACATGAAAGCAATGAAAAACATGTCACAATATGGAGTGTTATGATTTATATTGTGAAGTTATAATGGTTTTTATGAGGCAGAGATTATTATAATCATCTTCATCATCACCATTATGAATAAATGTCAGAACTCAAACTGAGCTCAAATTAGGCTCATAGTTGCAAGGAACGCGCCGACGGTGGAATGCAGCGTGTGTTTGTGTGTGTGTGTGTGTGTGTGTGTGTGTGAGAGAGAGAGAGTGTGAGTGTGAGTGGTTTCTCTCTGAAGAATAATAAGCACAAACACATAGGTGCTTTTCTTACCACCAATTACTGTAGAGAAAGCAGCCACAAATGACAGACAGCTAGATGGTTTTGTTTTTCAAAAAAACAAAAACAGAACAAAAAACACTCATTTTCCTCATCACTTGTAGTCATATGTTTTGCTTAGTGCTGTCAAACGATTAATCGCATCCAAAATAAAGTTTTTGTTTACATAATATATGTGTGTGTACTGTGTATATTTATTATGTGTATATAAACACACACACATGCAGGTATATATTTAAGAAACATGTTACATTTATATATTAAATATATAATATATACAGTATATATATATATTATATGTAAATACATGTAAATATTTTCAAAATATATGCTGTATGTATGTGTCTTTATATATACACATAATAAATATACACAGTACACACACATATATTATGTAAACAACAACTTTTATTTTGGATGCGATTAATCGTTTGACAGCACTAGTTTTGCTTAACCATAGTTCAGCACGATAAGACAGATATGATACTTAGCAAATACATAAATACATATTTCATGTTTTACTCAGTCATTTTGCAAAGATGGGTTAGTTTGTGTTCTTTATTCAGCCTCAGTAAAAACACTATAAATACAGTAGTATTACTTAATGTTAATTTAAAAATTATATATATATATATAATTTTATGAAATTATACAAAATATTAAGAAAATGTTTGTTAATTGTGTATATAATTTTTATTTATTTATTTGACATATTTTAGATAATAGTAATGATGATGATTAATTATAATATTATATATATATATATACAATGATTTTTAATAATTGTTTTTACAGAATTATCATTAATACAATTTTTATGTATTATAATATATACAATAATACAATTTAATACAGAGTAGGACATATATATTTAATGCAATTGCCCAATCAGAATGAAGTATTCTGCAGGGACATTAATTATAAACAAGATGTAATTAAATAAATTCCCATAGTGTTAGCATATGATATTTTGCCACGTTACTGCCACAATATTTTTTTTACAAGGACATTGTCTTTCATATAATAAAAAAAATAAAAAATAAAACTTCTTGTCTCATACACAACTTGAAAGAAAAGAGAGGAAAATGAGATAATAGACAGATAAAGAGGAGGAGACGGGAAAGACCAAAGTCGAGGGCTTTTGAGAGCAAGTGTTAATCTGCTCATTTCCAGAAGATCACTGCACCTCACAGTCACACGACTCTCCGAGAGGCTCGAGCGAGGAGGTGCGTAATCCTGCTTGGCTGGTATGAGCCACTTTGAAAGTAGACGGAGCAGAAATCTGTGCACTTTTTTGATATCTGGCTCTCTCTTGCCCTCAAATCCCATCTCACATGTCCTCTCTTTGCCTATCACGTTACAGCAGACCAATCGCTTCATTAGTCATGCGCTGTCTGCCGAAGTGCTCCGAAACAAACCTCTGCTGCCTTCGGGCAGGTCAGGAGCTCCATGACTGGATGACCTTATCCTGTACAGATAAAGCGTGATGGCATTCCACGGGAGGTCTGCAGTTACATTCAGCCTGGGAAGACTCTTCAGTTCACAGCTTGGCAAACTCGTCGGATATGTCATGCTAGCTTTGGGAATTTTGCAGTGATTAGATATACATCTGCACTCTAGATGACCACCCACTGGCTTTTATGCGTAAGACAACAGGTGACTTTGGGATTTCAGTCAATTACTTCCAGTTCTGAAGTTTCCCGCCGTTCTCGCAGTCAGTCTTGTGTCTTGAGTTTGGGTTTTTTTCGGGTCAGAACGCCATTTGTAGACTCTGCTGCCTACAGCTTCATAACCGTCATGGATCCTCAGAAGTGTCTGATTTTGGATCACATATAAATATATATATATATACTGTATATATACAGGGTGCGATTTGCCAGGGGTGATGGGGGGGGGATTTCCCCCCCTCTGGTCTATGCATCCCTGCCTCTTCTTAATTATTTTTAAAAACATCCTGCGAACCCGCTCCAAATCAAATCTAAATCCCGATCTAAATCAAATGATTTGCGATACGTGCTTTGAAATCCGTCTGAACAAATCTTTCTGTTATCTAGATTTTCTTTTCATTAATATTTAGGATTTTTGAGGCTGATTTTTATTTTATTTTATTATTTTATTTTCTGTCAAAATCACTTCATTCTGGCATCATCCAGCATTTTAAAGCTGAATAATTTAATGTAATAAAAATAATATATATAAAAAAAAATAAATAAAAAAAAAATATATATATACAGTATATTCTATCAAAATCACTTTATACTGGCATCATCCAGCATTTTAAAGCTGAATTATTTAATTTAATTTAATTTAATTTAATTTAATTTAATATTTTGATTTGATATTATAAATCACACATATTTTGTTTCACAT